ACTAAGAGGATTTGCCTGCTTAAAAATCAAAGAGCATCATGTGTGCCTGAGTAATAAATTATTATCCCTGCTTCTTACCTTTGGGGAGTCTGAAAGTAATTCCAGGTTTACTATGATGAACAGCAGTGCTTTCCTGTTATGTTCTCGGCATACTGTATACCACTCCCTAGCCACAGCGGTTTAAGACTAGAAGGGCTGACAAATGTCAATATATCTGTTATCCATCACTGAGGAAGAAGAACAAAGCTGTCAGTGTCTAAGCAAAAAATCTGAATTCAAAAGCCCTTGGAAAGCCAAACTTCCTAGAGAAAAGGAAAAAGATGAAGCAGCAGCAGGAACTTAAAGTACTGTCAAGACACAAGTATAGATGAATGAACCTAGAGTCTGAGCTAATGTCTCTCTCTCCCATACCCTCCAACATTTCTCTGATGAAAATAGGGACGTCCTATTCAACAACAATTTTAATATTGCCCATCTGACTGGGCCACCCCAGCCACTCTGGGTGGCTCCCAACATATATAAAAACATAATCAAACATTAAACATTTTAAAAACTTCCTTATGCAGGGCTGCCTTCAGGTGGCTCAGGGGTCAGATAACTCCATACTCTCCAACATTTCTCTGATGAAAATAGGGATGTCCTAAGGAAAAGTGAGACATTCCGGGATCGAATCAGAAACTGGGATGGCTTCTGTAAATCCAGGACTGTCCCTGGAAAATAGGGACACTTGGAGGGTGTGCTCTTTGTATATGCTAGCAGTGCGGACCTCAGAGCCAGAGACTAAATGTCCCTTCCCTATAAGGCCCTCAGCTGTCCCTCTCCCTAGACTAGTGATGGTCAAACTTGGCCCTCCAGTTGTTTTGGGACTATAATTCTCATAAACCCTGACCACTGGTCCTGTTAGCTAGGGATGATGGGAGTTGTAGTCCCAAAACAGCTGGAGGGTAAAATTTGGCCATCACTGCCTAGCCTATCTTATCTCCTCAGGCTACACACAATACTGGTCCTGGTCTTTGACTGTTTTATCTATGCTGGAATCTGTCCTTGAAAAGATAAAGGGTGGAGGTGTACGTATTTTTGTTTCGGTGTACGTGTGTGAACATGAGTAGAACTGCCTGACATTTTGTGTGACATGGGTCCTCTCCATCCTAATGTTCCCTTGCCCTGAAAAAAAGTTTCCCACCCTCAGCATAGGAGAATGATAGTTAATAACACTAAAAAAAGAGGTACATTGCCACACAGAAAAAAGGAAAATGGAAACAGGAAATAGCATTATCGTAGAGCTGATTATAGCCTTGGTGAGCAGAGTCTTATAGTAGCATGTCACTGGGCAGAGGATGAAAGGCAGTCGGCCAAAACACACCCACTTCCATGCCATAAAATGGAGTGCTGACATGTCCCATTGCCATACCCATCACCTACTCTGTACCTGTTACTTGCTTCTGAACTGGTAGTTAAGAAGGAGCAGGATTCATACTCTTGCAGGGACCCAATTTCTACTCTGCTGTGTGAAAGCGACTTGAGTACCGAGTAGTGAGTTTGTGTGTTTTTTTAAAAAAACCTTGATGTCTTTTTTGCTTAGTTTACTGTAATGCAATAATGGCTGTGCATATGTGTGGATAGGCCTCAGCCACATTAGGGTCAGGCCTCAGAGCCAGATCTTTGGATGGTTGGGGGGAGACACGTTCTACTTCCTGACCAAAGCTGCTGCTCCCTTTGCTTGGTTTCCATGCTGCTATCCGTTGCTGTGATCAGAGCTTGCCTTTTAAACATGATTACACTAATCCATCTGGGAAACTGGTTATACTGAAAGAGGCCCCAGACTATTCATCCGCTGCTGGGTTGAGAACCTCACATACAATTGATCCAGGGGAGCAGGAGGTGCTGTGGTCTAAACCACTGAGCCTCTTGGGCTTGCCAATTGGAAGGTTGGCGGTTCGAATCCACACGATGGGGTGAGCTCCTGTTGCTCTGTCCCAGCTCCTGCCAGCCTAGCAGTTCGCAAGCACGGCAGCGCAAGTAGATAAATAGGTACTGCTGCGACTGGAAGGTAAACAGCGTTTCCATGCACTCTGGCTTCTGTCATGGTGCTCTGTTGAGCCAGAAGCAGTTTAGTCATGCTGGCCACATGACCCGGAAAGATGTCTGTGGACAAATGCCAGTTCCCTTGGCCTGAAAGCGAGATGAGCACCGCAACCCCCTAGTAGCCTTTGACTGGGCTTAACCATCCAGGGGTCCTTTACCTTTTACGTTTACAATTAATGCAGTTGTGTTCAATTGAACCCTGCTAGAGAGGGTCGGTGACTCTGCTGATGGGTATGCACATTGCTACCCAGGATCACTACTTCTATGCACACAACCATGTTGCATCTAACTGGAGCTGATTAAGGGCCCATGTGAATTTGATTCCTGCATTGGAGGGGGTGTTCCTTTCAACTCTACATTTCTGTGACTTTATGTACAATGCTGTTAACAATTGCTGTACAAGTACTGAAGGATGCCATGAACCTGCACCCACATCTATTCTTATTTGGCCCACTAGATAGGCTTCGCTGTTATCTGCACAAATATCTAGTTTCCTACTCATGTGACCAAAGAAATGCAATTAACAGAGAATAAAGTGTTTCCTTTAATGAAACAGAAGGGCAGCTAAAATGAAACACATTAAAATTCAGAAGAAAGATTGGAAACCGAGTGCAACAACATATATTTTGTATGTTACCGTGTGTGTGTGTGTTAATCTAACGTTTAAATTAGCATTCAGTTGCAATTAGGACTGTTACCTGATTAAAGAAATCTTGATCAATTTAGTACATTTAAATCGAGAAAAATTTGCATATGAATAAGATGCTATTGCTTTTAGATTGTCCATATCATGAAAGGAATAATTTTAGAAGGGACAGTCTGTCCTGTGTGAGATGAAAGTGGTTGTGTAGGTACACACACACACACACATTTTTTTTTTAAGAGTATGGATGGAAAGAACAATCAGAACAGTGGAAACGAGGCAGTGTCCAGTGAATCTCTTGCCCCTTCCGCCTCTGCACAGACTCTAAATCTGGTCTGCAGGATGGGGCAATCCGTTAAACAGATTTAGCTGCCCCCTTTCCTCTGAGGAGCCCTCAGCTGAATTAACTGAAAGATGTGTAGGTATATCGTCAGATCAAGAGTCAGTCTCATAAAATGACATAACACTCACAAAACACTTTCCAATCATGTAACACTCCTACAGTCAGATGCTACATAAACACATAGAGGGGTTTGTTGTTGTTTTTTTTGCAAATGCAAATCATCGTCATTGCTTAGAGCTGTTGTTTGTGTGCTCCTAACCATTTCTTATTGCTCTCTCTATTTTTAACGCACCATACGCAAACAGTTTGGAATCTTGTAAAGACTTGTGCGCATTTAATTGTATAGACAGTTGAATGGCTGTTACCATTTACATCGGACTGGCCTACATTGATCTTGTTCTTGAACAATTAGTTCCACATAGTCTACCATTCTGTTCTACAATATCACCTTGAATTGAATTGATATTCTGTGTCAATATCTCCAGGGTGGTGGATGCATCCCTCACTTTAACTAAGACTGAGGGATTAATCCATTGCTCAGGAGAGTGCCACAGATGCGGATTAAGTCCAATCTGGGAGTAGATGTTTTAAAATTGTTCAAAACGGCCACCAGTCTTTGCAAGATAAAAGCCATATATTTTAATAATTCAAAGGAAGGTTTTGCATTGTGTTATTTGTCCAATTAATTAAGTTATTTGGCTGTTTTCTCTCATTTTGTTTAAGCCAGGCATGTCCAAAGTCCATTTCTTCGGGGGCCTGGTCCGGACCACCGGTCAATTTAATCTGGCCCCTCTGGCAGTATGTCCTGTGGTAAAATCCTAAAGAAACCTCAACCACTTTGGGGAAAATTTCTACAAAAATTGTATTTAAAAAAAGCTCAACAACTTGAGGTTGGCCCTCATGCATGCTCACTTCATCAAATCCGGCCCTCTGAAAAAAAATTGGGCACCCCTGGTTTAAGCCATTTCTAATTGTCAAGTGGCTGCAGAAAAAGCTAGAGATGCGGAAAAAAATCCAGTTGCCCAGTCACACTGGCATCTAAACTTTGACCGTGGATTCTAGTTCAACCCTCCTTAGTTCTTAATTAAAACTACATAGCCCTATATTTATCACATGGGTGGCAGCATGCAGAGAAAAGAGAATTGGCTCTTTGCTTCCCATATGCTATCCTCCCCAAGATTACATCCCCACTGACCCATGGAAAGTAGGCTTAAAAAAAAGGTGAATGAGACCTTTAAAAATGTCTCACACTCATATTGACCAGGATTCCAGTCTCTTCAGGCAGAATCTGGCCCAGCGGCTAGAGGTTTTCCATTCCTAACAAAACGATTGTCCATAACTACATGGGTGCCAGGCATACACTGAGCTCCCTGTGAACTGGAGATTCCCTATGTGCAAGCTGAATTCCGAAATGTCCCCAATTTGAAGAGAATACTATAGCCTCCTGATTGGTCCAAGTTCCGTGAGCACATCTTAACACTCTGTGTGCCATTGGAACCACTGAATTTCTTTTTTAAAAAATTCACCCAAATTGTACATGCACCAAAAATGGAAGAGAAAATGAGTGTGCCATCTCAGTCAGAACGTCCACAGAGCTTTGAAAGAATCGGAATGAATTTTGATGAGACGCCCAAAATTGCTGAGGAAAGTCTCACACATCCCTGGGTTATTAGATTCTGCCCAAGTTGAAATGGTAGACAAATGTAGTGGTTCCTCCTCAGCGAAGCATCTGATGAACTCCAATGAAAGTCAAACAAGTCATCCTAACACTAGCAGTGTATCTCAAGGGGATATCTGTAGATACTTGCGTTGTATTTTATTTAAGGAAACAAATTGACAATGCAAAACCAACTCCTAAAAAATATTTTCATTCTTGGCTGGCACTTGAGAACCAAAACTTAAAGCTTCCCTTCTTGTTCTTTGTTTACAGATTCAAGACCTTTACCAGATGTAGCCCTGACTGGGAAGTGCACTCGGGAATGTGATGAATACGGCCATTCAGACTCGTGCTGGATGCCTGTCCGCACTTCACCCGAAAGGAAGCAGAAGAGCCAGCCAAAACTCTCCACTTTCATGCCTGTTGATGAACGGGGCAGTCAAGAGAAGCTGGCCAATGGAGAAGCCTCCCTGATGGGTGACCGCAACAGAAACCTCCTTAATAAAAAGTTGACCTCATCCTATGAGACCTTCAGTGCAGCTAGTTTCAGCAAAAGTGAGGAAGCCAACCCAGAGGATATTCCCCTCACACAGACAGGGGAATACAAGCCATCTCCTGTCAACACTTTAACTAGAAGAGAAGTTTACCTTTAGGCGACAAAGAAGCAACAATACGGTTCTCTCATGTATTGGAAGGGGATAAAAGGCAAAAAAACAAAACCTATGAATCAAAATGATTTTAACTCAAAAATAAAGGAAAGTCCATTGAAAATGAGGGGGCTACCAAAGAGACAAGAGCTTGGCCTGCCACTTCTGCCTCCATGCCAGGCATTTGCGTATCCTGTCTGCCTGACTATACTGTACAATGTAGAAACCATTGTTGTTCCTGCATGCCTAATTCCCTGCTCACCAATCTTTATTTTCCTAAATTTATGGTTGTAAATTCCTTTCAAGGTAACAAGTCTGAAATTGAAAAGAACTACAGGAACTGTTGTCCCTCATCCCTTCCCCGCCCCCACTGCTGAAGCATTGCTTAAGCCACTCTGGTTATCATTTGGTGGTTATCTGGCTTGTTTGCAAGTCGAGGGGTGTGTGAGAGAATTATTACATACGTATAATTTTCCCAGGATACCATCTGAATATTGCTGGTTTCCATCAGAGAGATATGCCTCCAGAAACCATTCAAAATTAAACATATAAAGGGATGGTTTTTCTTTTTCTTTGAAAGAAGCACTTTTTGAAGATCTCGGCTTTAATCCTGTTGTGTGGCTGGAGAGAGCAGAAAACATATTCAGTCTGAGATTATAATCCCAAATATGACATGTTTCCCTATAATCATGAACTGTTCAGTTTTATCCATAACTACTATCTCTGCCTGTGCTTTCATACTCTCTGACATTATCCTCCTCCTCTTTTTCCTCCTCTCTTTCTGTGGCATTTTAAACTTCAGCATAAACAAAATGATGGTGGTATATCATGGCGTCCTAAGGATAAACTACTATACTGGTGTCATTTTTACAAGACCGGCATTTAGCTTGGATGACCACAGTAACTAAAAGGCCAAAGAAAAAACTGTGGATCCGGAGAATTGCTCATCGGTCTTGGGCTTAGGAAATCTGACACAGACGCACACAAACACGTAAGCGTATTTTCCACACACATTTTGCACAGCAATCTATGCCGCAACCCAGATGACGTAGCCGTTTCAAAATGGATTTTAGCTGAATCCCCAGAGGAACTGGTCATACGAGCTAGCTGGTGACAGCATGGCACATCATAAGCTACATATAGTAAAAAGATGCTCCCGTTCCAGGGTTCGTTCCTTAGAAGGTTTCATATCTATTCAGGATGAGCTCCAAAAACACATTGAGAGGGAAATCTGAAAAAAAAGAGCAAAAACAAAGGCAGTGGGAAGGAAGAACATACTTCAAGTCAAGTATGGCATCATCTTTGTTGAGAGTGGATGCTAAACCTTCGATTATCAGTGTTCCAGGTTAATCATTTGCTCTTGGCAAAGGTATTATGCAGGTTTTCTTAATACACAAGTGCATTTAAGCTGAATCCTGTGCAATATAAAACCAATGTTGAGTCTCAAGGCGACTGGTAGTCTTGAGTGATGTCACCACCGACATGCTCTGTGCAAAAACAAGTTTTGCTTGTGACAAGCTTCAAAAAATAAATAAATCCAAACCTGATCATGATGGTGCAGAGCTCTGGGCTGTGACAGTTCTCATAGTTTGCACTATATATAAAAAGTGGATAGGAAAATGGACCAGATATATTTTGTGCAATAAGGAGTTACAGAGTGTGTAGAATCTGAACTAGTTCTGTATTGATAATGTTGTAGTAATAAAGAATGGCTGAGCTTGGACATTCGAATCAAACTGACAATCGGTCAATGCAGTGGGGACAGCTTGAGAAGGGGTGCAAAGACAGAAACCAGCCCCTCTGGTTGTTTAACTTGGCATTAAAGCATGACTAGATGGTTCTAGTAGATTGTAGTGACAAGATAGCTTGGGTAGTTTATTGCTTTAAAAAAAATGACATAGAGTATAATATTAAACAGTCTGAAATGTGAGCTGAACAACTGGTACAAACTCATCACAACTTTTGTCTTTTCAACTTTCTATAGCAAAGTGCCCTTTTTATTGTACATCTTCCTTACTTTTTTGTATCTTATTTTGAAATTAGTTTTTTTGTGTAGCAGTTACAAATGGGCACATATTATAAAGGGGAAAAATTAAAAAGAGGTTAGGAGTGATTGATCATTCCAATGCATAGTTGCTTTCTAAAGAGAAAATTCAGAGATGCAAATTTGACTTCGTTAGAAGACTGATTAAATCGGTTACTGCATTGTATAACCTTTCAGTATCTGCCAAGGATAAAAGGCTTCTCATTTACATTAAAACTTACACATTTCTTGCAGGTTTCAACAGAAAATGCAATCATACCACCTCACTGGTCAAGAGAACTATTTTTAAAAATAAAACCCTTATATATTGAATATCCGCTTGAGAACCATTAGATAAGGCAGATCTAAACAAACTATCTTTCTTTTTAACTTTTCTGGAAAGCCAATACAGATCAGAGAAGGCCTTCAGGATTAACTGGATCAGAAATCACTCCCCATTTTGTGCGCTAAATACAAGTGAATCTTGTGATTGAGGAAATTACCTTTTTATTCATAGAGCTAAGAAGGGCACAAAGGGATAACAAAAAATACAGTGTACTTGTATGTATTTGCAGTAATTCTAGTAAAACCTAGCCATCAAACCATAGTCAATTGCTTCTTATGACCCAGCATGAGACACAAATATATTTTTGTGGTTTTTTCCCCATTTGAAATTAGTTAAATCTGGTGACACTCCATATATAGAGTGCTTTTGTAAAAAATAATAATAATAATAAAATGAAAGTGAAAATTTTTAGAGTGAATGCAAAATATGCAACTGTGCCTTTTATACCTGTTGTTATGGTAAACATGGTGGTTGGGGTTGGACACTAAAAATCTATGGGCTATTCCCACATTTTTTGAACCTGTATATTTAACCATGTTTATTTTCTGAGAAATAAAAGATGATATATTTAAAAAATGCCTTCTACCAAACTCAGATAATGGACCAGTCTTAAATATAATTCATTATTAAAAACAAGAATGTGCTTTTGGAATAGGACATTTGTTAACTGAGAGGGGGAAAAGTACTATATTTGTCTCAGTAGCAAGATGTTATGAGTCTGTTTGGTAGAAAACTGTTGATTTATTGCTTTTTGGGAAAAAAAATCCTTTTAGCAGTTTTTTGGTTTTTTTGGTTTTCATTTCATGATACGACTCCTATTGTTTGCTTTTTAATTTCACAAGAAGCTCAAAGAAACTGTGCATGTCTTTTACATTGGACACATTTAGAGATTGACGCATCACTTATATAACTTTATACGAATTAGAAAATGTCGTATTAACTTCAGTCTAAACTCTAATGCTCATTCCAACCTCCAGTTATGCTAATATTTAGTCAATCTAATTTCTGACTGGCCTGCTGCCTGAGTTTCAGAAAACAAGGTAGATGCTATTTTTCTGTAGGGGAAGAACTCAAAGGAGAGATTGAAGGTGCTTGGCTGAAAGACTACCCTGGGGAGTTGTCACATAGAAAAAAACCAAACACAAAGATGTAGGAAAATGAAGAGAGGGGGCAAAACGAAGCTACCATAAATGCAGCCATCACTAAAAGACTTTTACAGCATTGGAAGAGTTGAAGAATATAACAGTTTTGCTTATATTCCATCACTGATAAAAGATCCACTGTTTCCTTAATCGCTGAAAGAAAGGAGATGGACAATGGTAGAGACGAACCTCATCCCAACATTAATGTTGAGCAGTTGCCTGAAGAGCATAGTATAAGGAAGAAGGAATCATTTTTCAGCTACCTGGGGTACACTTTCAGACATTTCTTGTCCTGAATTTCGAAGCACTTACATTCAGTGTGGTTACGATCTGTTTGTAATATTAATCATTGACTATTGTTCTGCAACTTGGATGTTGATAGTGAAGCAGAGAACAACTTATCATTGTTTATTATGAGTCACTATGCACGCAACTATGCTAAAAAAAAAAAAAAGAAACATGGCAAAAATGTATTCAACGCTAGTCCACCTCTATTTATGAAAGATTTTGCATAATTTAATTTGCTTTTGTACAGTTTTATGTAAATAAATTGCTTGTCATTTTTGTCTCTGCAAATTAAAATATAACATGTTCAAATGGTCACCCAATTGTGTGCTTTCTACGTGGAATATGGAAGAAAATGCATTCACGTGTAAAGACAGGAATATGGAAAAGGTGGTGCTATTGTAGATTAACTGTTTATAGATATTCTTCTATGTCGTCATGAGAGAACAAACTCTAATTATATGTGATTCATATGATAAACCGGTTCCACACATATAAGATTAAAAGGTGTGTTATCACCCAATAAGAAATGCATCTTAATCTTATTCCATCCCTCCATCCTATCCCGAATAATGTGCTCATATTGAAATTGCTCATCAATGAAGTTCCTAGCCTTTTAAGCCTAGAGTAATCTGTTAAGAACAAAGTCGGTCTTCCCCTGCTTCCATCAATCAAGATTCACTGTTCTCTGAGCATGGCTGGCAAGTGACCTTATTGAGTTTCCTCACTTTGACTTAGGGGATCATAAACATGATTATGAGGATGCACCAAAGCTTGTTACATGGATGATTTCCCTTTCTCCCTTCGCTTCTGACAATGCCCATTGCACCTGTCTTCACTCATGCAATGCTTCACCATCACTGTTTCTCTTCATATGCCAACTGCAGATGTGGCGACACTCCCGCCCTCCAACACACTCTGAAAAACTGTGTACAAAAGTATTTTCTGTGGGAGAAAGAGCTTCACTCTTCCTCAGAGTGAACCTTGTCTTTGTATAGCACCTTACAACAACAACAACAACAATAGCAACAACATACCGTATGTTTTGCTCTATAAGACTCACTTTTGCCCTCCTAAAAAGTAATGGGAAATGTGTGTGCATCTTATGGAGCGAATGCAGGCTGCACAGCTATCCCAGAAGCCAGAACAGCAAGAGGGATTGCTGCTTTAACCGCGCAATCCCTCTTGCTGTTCTGGCTTTTGAGATTCAGAATATATTTTTTTCTTGTTTTCCTCCTCCAAAAACTAGGTGCGTCTTGTGGTCTGGTGCGTCTTATAGAGCGAAAAATACAGTCCCCTCCAACATTTCTCCTATGAAAATAGGGATGTTCCATTCCATAATGACAATTTTACTATTTATACCCCACACATCTTACTGGGGTGCCCCAGCCACTCTGGGCAGCTTCCAACATATATAAAAACATAATAAAACATTAAACATTTTTTAAAAACTTCCCTATCCCTTCAGATAGCTTGGGGGTCAGATAACTCCATACCCTCCAACATTTCTCCACTGGAAATAGGGCCATCCTAAGGAAAAGTGGGACATCCCGGGATCAAATCAGAAACCAGGACAGCATCTCTAAATCAGGGATAGCCCTAGAAAATAGGGACACTTGGAGGGTCTGCCAACAACAATTTATTCATTATATCCCACCCATCTGACTGGGTTGCCACAGTCACTCTGGGAAGCTTCCAACATAATATAAAAGCACAACTGAACATGAAGCATTCAAAACTTCCCGACACAGGGCGGCTTTCAGATGTCTTCAGAAAGTCGTATCATTGTTTATCTCTTTGTCACCACAACCCTAAGATTAAGACTCTCATGCTCTACCAACTGAGCTGTACTTCAGGCTTGGGCCCGAGATTTGCATTGTGTACCTGCCTGCCAAATTAGAAGCCCAGCAATAAGAAGTGGAAATAAACAAGCTGTTTCCCCCAAAAAAATTTCTTAGTCAAAACCCTTTGCAGTTAGACCCTTTCTGCCACCATGTTGTGGGTTGCCGCAATCTATTCGCCGGTAGGAGATGGAAGACTGCACTTTCTTGCCACAGCACAGTTGGTTTCAGTATTTTAATAAATTAAATAAGATATATATACTGCTTGATAAAAAGAAGTCAAACCTGTCTAAGCAGTTTGCATAAAATGATGTTCATAAGAAAATACAGATAAAATCAATCAACAGACATGAAAACATGTAGACATAGTAATGTTATCAGAACATAAATAAAATTAAATCTGTTGATCTTATCTATTAAATCTATAGCCTACCCTTCTTTCCAAAGGAATGTTCTCTCTCTCTCTCTCTCTCTCTCACACACACACACACACACATATATATGTGTGTGTTTGTGTGTGTGTATGTATATATATGTATACATACACACACACACACTGCCAAAACAATGTTTTTTTTAAAAAAACAGGCATTGAAAACAGTATTAACTGCTGCCAAACTAAATGACTGATTCCTTTGAAGTGCAGAATGAACATTGCATGGCACTTGTAAAAGCGCCAGTTCTGCAGACTGAAACAGTTGGGTGGATGCAAATGGAGATGCAAAAGGCGATCCTTCAAGTAAACTAGCCCCAAGCTTCCGAAGGCTTTTAACACCTTGAATTTGGCAGCCGGGGGAAGATCATTGAACAAGAGTGGAATACGCTGACAGGGTCTCACTTTTGTCAGTATTTGTGCTGTGCATTCTGCACTAACTGCAGTTTCCAGACCAAGTATAAGGGAAGCCCCGCAGTGCATTGCGGTAATAGAACATTGAAATTACCAATAACTGAACTACTATGGCAGATCATGAAAGTGTTCCTATTTTCCAGGGACAATCCCAGACTTACAGAAGCCATCCCAGTTTCTGATTTGATCCCAGAATGTCCTGCTTTTCCTTAGGATGTCCCTGTTGTCATTGGAGAAATGCTGGAGGATATGGAATAGGATGTCCTTACTTACATTGGTTCAAGCGTTTGCTGTGGTCAAGCTATCCTGTTCCAGAATAGGCAGGGAGAATGGGGCAGTGGTACTGAACTTATTTAATACTCTTCCCCTAAAAATTAATACAAGATTCTAGAATGGTTGCTGTTTATATAACATGGATATAAGGCAGCCACCCTAACCTACTGTTTCCATATAAGAAACAATCATTCTTATATGCCTTCTTCACAGCTCTGGGAGGGCTCCGGCAGGGTCCTAAAAATAAACCAACATAGCCGAAGGCTTAGCTCTTTTTTAAAAAAACTTAACAAGTATTTTCTGAGATTATTACTTTTAAACTTTCCCAGAAATTTTCAAAAATGTGCGTTTCAAAATCTTGCTAAAATTTGAACTGATGCTCAATTTCTCGTCAGCTCTGAACAAGCAAGCCCCCTTTGCTTAGATCTGCAAATCACATTAGATGTAGAGGTCCTTTTATTAGATCAGAGCAAAAGCTCAGAACTTCAGAGATGCCTGCAGGGGTCTGAAATGGCCAGTGTTAAAATAGCTGTGATCCAGCAAGCTGCCTGCACAGCTGGGTCCTACTGTTGGGTACGGAAGACAAAGCACACAAAAGGAAAGCCAATCCATAGCCTTCAGCAGAGAAGACCCTCCTGCCCCCTCATGGTGCTGACTTACTGAAACATAGCCTTAATCGCTAGAGGGAATAAGATTAATTAGCACATCAAAGAAGCAGAGATAATTCCAGATGTGCAGATATGTTTCTGAGAAATATCATCATCATCAAACCTTTTATTGGCATCACATGCAAACATCCAAGAAATACGTTCCGGGTCATGTCGGTGACAGAAAAAGAGACCTTCATTTATTTCCCCTAAAAATTAGGCTACATGTAATACTCTGCCAGTAGTTTTATTTCAATTGGAGAGATACTTTGAGCAGGAGACTGGGAGGGGATTTGCAGAATCCTGTCTCTTCTTTCCATTTTTGCACCCAAAATACGCTTTCCCCACTCCTTGAGAAGGGAGAGAGAGAGAGAGAGAGAGAGAGAGAGAGAGAGATCCTCATGTTTTGAGTAGGAAACCAGATTGGAGGATTGTGGGGAGGAAATGGGAGATAAGTTAAATACTCCTTTCGTCTGCTGGCGCTCTGTTCAAGGGTGTAATCTCTAGAGCAGGGTGGTCCAGCTCTTCATACAAAATGGGGCATGATAGTACTTTGACCCAGAACCTACAAGCCACACACTGCCTTGTTGATGCCCCTTGCCCAGCCCTCATGCTGCCTTCCTAAAAGCAGATAAGTAAGTTACAGGGCATGGGGATAAGGCATGAGGCTCTGGCAGGCTCCTAGAGCCATCCCAGCTTCTTTCTCAAAACTGGGAAAGCACTAACTAGGCTTTGGGAAGGAAGCTGGAGACCTCTAGAACCCTGCCAGAGCTGTGAAGAAGACATAGAAGAATGAATGTTGGATAAAAAAGTGAAAAAACAAGGCATACACAAGTCACCTCTGTGACAAAAAAACCTGGAAACAGTAGATTATGGTTTATGCCTTATATACACAGCAACCATTTTGGAATACAGTGGTGCCTCGCAAGACGAAATTAATCCGTTCCACGAGTGTCTTCGTCTAGCGGTTTTTTCGTCTTGCGAAGCAACCCTATTAGCGGCTTAACGGATTAGCGCTATTAGCGGTTTAACGGCTATTAAAGGCTTAAAGGCTTAGCGGATTAGCTGCTAAAAGGCTATTAAAGGCTTAGCAGCTTAGATAAAGCGGGGGGGGGGGAGGGAAAAAAAAATCACAAGACTCGCAAGACATTTTCGTCTTGCGAAGCAAGCCCATAGGGGAATTCGTCCTGCGAAGCAACTCCAAAACGGAAAACCCTTTCGTCTAGCGGTTTTTCCGTCTTGCGAGGCATTCGTCTTGCGGGGCACCACTGTATACACAGAAACCATTCTGGAATATTGTATTAATTTACAACTAATCCACCTCCTTTGCAGGTGGGGCTAAACACTGAAACTAGGGGCAGTAATGTGCTGATATATAATAAGTTATTTTCTTTTATATTTTTCAACTCTTAATTCTAATAACCACTCTTAACTAGAAAGGTGAAATCCTCTGCATGTTTTAACAACAATCTGCTCTGCTGGTGTTGCAGATCTGAAAGTTTTATTTCTGATAAACAATCTCTGGAAACCTTATTTTAAGCTGCAATGTGCAAACCTGCACATGTTTAACTAAATGTAAAATTAGCAAAGTAACTCTTCAG